GCCCGCATTTATTTATTTATTTATTTATTTATTTATTTATTTATTTGGTCCTCCACTGGACACGACGATGGAGTTTAGGGTTGCCACCCCCAGGGCGAACAGCGTGCATCCCCGTTTCAAGATGATGAGTAGTCATGTGAAAACACAGATCCATAGGTAGGCCAGTGACATGGCTAGTGGCACCAGCTGCCGAGCCTGACTGGAACTCAAGTGGCACGACTCCCACGCTGCCCTCTGACGTCCACACGTGTGCACACGCACATACACTCAAGCCTACCTCGCCGTCTAGCCCTGCCTCACCCGAGACTTGCTATTTACACGAGACTGGCCCACAATGCCTCCGCTTTCTGAGCGCTGGCATTAAAGGAGTGCACCGCCACGCCTAGCAATAAGTAAATGCCATTTTGAACTATTGATAGCACTGAGTGTTGGCAGGAGCAAAGGATTTGAACAGATTCACCTCCTTCACGTTATTGGGTACCCCACAGTTGTCTTTAACTCCACAAGATAGTGACCACCTCTTTTTTAAAGCACCTTTTCTTTTTCTTACTTGTATGCATACCCAAGTGGCCAGTGGACTTAAGTCCATTTTACCCGTACTGAAAGTGCAGAAGTGTGTCTTTGGTACATGGTCATGAAGTAGTGAGTTGAGTACTGAGATGTTAAGTTGGAAGAGTTTGGAGAGCACGTAGGGCCGGGTACTCAGTTAACAACACTGTCACCAGAGTCTTTTGGTAAATAAAAAGACCTTAAATCTTCAGGACTGAAAAGAAAAATGCTAGTTTTGAAAACCCATATTGGGGGTCTTTGGTTTTTAACTTCATCAGATTTGCTTCTTGTTCTTCACACACACATATAACACAGATGTACATGCTGTGCTTTTCCTAATGTTGACTGCATTTTCTAGGAAATGCACAATACAAGGTGAAAAAATGTCATTTTGGAATGGTTTGTACCTGTGCACTTGTTCCTACCCTGAGTTCCTTTTATGTGAATCTCCTGTTTCAGGCGATTTTTTGCCAACTTTGTGTACTTTGTCCCACATAGTTTCTCTCTTTTTGGTTATTAATTAACAAGGTTTTCTTCCACTCTCAGGTGCTGTAGGTATCTTTTCTGTTCTGTAACTTGTGCATTAAACAAGGATTTTAACCTGTGTAATCAGATCAGATTTTTATCTAGACAGTTGTAATCCATCTCCATGTTAAACTTCAGGTTTGATGTCCAACATTGCTTTAATATAGTTGCTGTAACTTCCATTTGCTTTTCTAGTGTCTTGGATGAAGTTACTGACTTAGACTGGGCTTGCAAGTTCCAGTGAATAAAGTCATGAAATACCATGTCAGGCTAATAAATGCCAGTTTAAACAAAACTAGTTTATAAATGCAGTGTGTGAGCCTTCACATGTATAACAGCACTTCTCCCTCTTCTTTAACTCAGATTTGCCCTTTTTCTTGCTTATCATTTTTGCTTATATGTGATGTTTAAAAATCTCCTTAAAATTTAACTCTTCCAGGACTGAACGTTTGAAATACTTCAGCCATGACTAAGAGAGAAGCAGAAGAACTGATAGAAATTGAGATTGATGGAACTGAGAAACCAGAGTGCACAGAAGAGAGGTCAGCATTTCTGAATTGATCAGTTTTTAATATTATTGGTGTACCAGGCTACAGTCAAGGATGGGCCAATATGTTTATTTTTGTTTCTCCCCTCCAACTTCATAGAGAGAAAGGCATTTTTGAAATATAAGCAGTAGCAAACATAGTTGATTATGATCACAGTTACAATGATAGCTGGCCCCTACCCCCATCTAAAAGGCATTTCTTTGATTTTTTTCTTTAATTCTTCAATAGTACAATCACTTTTATTTCAAAGACCGTTTAATTCAACCCAAATTTAGCAATAGTTATTATTTATGAATAGTTGCTGTATGTTGGTAACTGACAGGATAAAATGGGAAACATAAGACATTTTTAAATGTCCTTATGAAAGTTTTGTTGTGTTTGAGGAGACACACTGGTCTTGGAACACCTGTGTACATAGCACTTAGCATAACGGTCTAAGTATTGCTTCTTGGAATGATAGTGGAGTCTTCCCTGAAAGGGGGGTAGTGATGAATTTGGAATCAAGGGAGAGATTCTGATAGAAACAGATTGAGAAAAGTCAGGGAGGAGGTTGTGGGAGCAGGAGACAACACAATATAATGAATTTAATTGGGGCTGAAATGTCATGGTGGACTCTGTGGAGTAGCAGAAGACCACTATGACTTAGATCTGGAGGACGCTGAGTTGAAAAGACAGCTAAAATTTAAAACTCCAGTGCTAAAGAACTTTGGAATTGTTTGTCCTTTTCTGCAGCAAATGAATAGAATGCATGCTTCTCTCTCTCTCTTTCTCTCTCTCTCTCTCTCTCTCTCTCTCTCTCTCTCTCTCTCTCACACACACACACACACACACACACACACACACAACTGATGAGTGCTTCAGAGAGTCAGGAACCTGGACCAACATTGTTGGGTGGTTTTGATCTGGATCTATAGTATCTGCCCCAAAGATCACTCTTGATATTGTTGGCAGGCAACCTTAGTGTGTCCACTGAGCCTTTCTCTAGGGCTTTTCAGATAGTCTGAAAGGGCGCCAAGGTAGAAGTCATGGTGTCTTTTAAAAACTCAGCCTAAGAAACTTGTATCAATTGGTCACACAGCTCAAATCTTGTTCAGGTAAGTGTTTGTCACAGGCCCTTTGCGGGGGTCTGGGTGGGAGACTAGCTGCTGTACCATGTAGATCAGTGTGAAGGAGGCTGGCCATAGGTGTTCTTCAACTACAGCAGTTGGTTGCATTGCAGGAATTGAGAAACAATAACACTGAGATCATTCACATTTCTTCGAAGGGAGTGGCTTATTAAGATTTTTAGATTTCCCGAGGTTTATAAGTTTGCAACAGAAAACGTTGAAAAACTTAATACTCAGTATTCATAGAAGTGAAATTTTGGAATCTGTTTTAAAGTAGCATTTGGATCTTTTAAAAATCACTATTCCTAAAAAGGGTAGGCTTCCGTGCTTATAGCTGAAAAAATATGTTGAAAGTGCTTAGTTAGTCAAAAAATAACATTCTTTATATTAACCAAGAATGATTATATACTATTATTTTAAAATAATATTGCTTTTAATCATGAGTAGTTCTGTTTTACAAATTTTAACAAGAAACCTGTTGTTTATATTCGCTAAATATATATGTGTGTGTGTGTATTATATTTGGGAAATAATGTAGAAATAAAATGACACATTGCGTATGTGTGCACACTGATGCACTTACGCATGTTTGTATGTGTTGAATGGTGATGCCTGCATGCCACAACATGCATGTGGAGGTCAGAGGTCAGCCTGAGGTGTTGGTCCTCACTGTCCAGCTTGTTTAGACAGATCTCTTGTGTTTGCGGCTGCACAGGCCCACCCAGCTGGCCTGGGGATTTTCCTGCTTTCTCTCCCATCTTACACAGGACACTGGTTGGATGGATGAGTGCTGTCATACCTGGCTTTACATGGCTTCAGGGGATCCAAACTCTGTTTCTCACGGACTACCGCAAGAGCTATCCTACTCAGCCATTTCCCTATCCGCTCCCTCGTGTTTTATTTCATTAGGAAATTTCATTTTTATTTATGTGTACTTCAGTTATATGTCTGAGGGTGAGTACATGCAGATGAGTTAAGGTTTGAGCAGAGGTAAAAGCATCAGATCATTGTGCAACTGGAGTTTTAGGTGCTGTGAGCCACCTGAGTGCTCTTAACCACTAAGGTATCTCTGGCTTACACTTCATACTTTCATTTAATACATATTTTTAATAACTATAAAGAGATTTAATTCATATTTAATGTAAATATGTTGTGAAACTTAATTCAGTAAATACTATTTCTCAGTCTGTTTTCCTGTAAGCATTTACAAGAGTTATGTACAATTACTTATCAAGGCTTTAAACATTGGAATTGTGAAATAACAACGCAGAAGAGCTCTAAGTAAGTTTTAAAGGACAATATAATTTTCTAAGACCAGCTAGGCAGTAGTGGTACAAGCCTTTAATCCCAGCACTCGGGAGGCAGGTAGGGGTCTGTAAATTCCAGGCCAGCTTGGTCTATATAATAGAGTTCCAGGACAGCCAAGGCTATGCAGAGAAACCCTATCTATCTCAAAAACCCAATAATAATAATATGGAGTGAGGCTAATTGTAGTAATTGATTAGTATTCAAGTTAAATTGGAGGTATTTATATTGTTATACCTTATCAATTTATATTTACTACATTATATTGGGAAGGAAATTGATTAGTAGAAATGTACAGAATTTTGGTTTGAATTTTGTTTTGTTTTGTATGGGGTTTTGAGATATGAGCTCATGTAGCCCAGATTGGTTTCTGTTTTTCTATGGAACCAAGGATGACTTTGAAGGGATCCTCCTGCCTCTGCTTCCTGAGTGCTGTGACTACAGGCTTGTGTGCCATCCTAAGAGGTTTCTCACATTTTAAGGACATAACGTATTGCAATGTTTCTGGGCCTTGAATTCTTGAAAATAACTTGCGATGTCCCATTTCCCCTTAGATAGTATATATCCAGCATTTATTCATGTGCTGGCCCATACATATATATGCATAACTAAGTGCTTTAAGTTTCAAGTTAGCTATGAGATTTAGTGTTCATATTGAGGTTAGTCAGTGTGAGTCTAACACAGCATCAAAGAAGAAATTAGTTCAGAACACAGAAAGAATTTCAAAGACCTCGGGTGTTTTTGGTGTTAATTTTGTTTTGAGCATCATGTTACCTTCACATCCCAGTGACATGTAATTACCAACCTTTATTTCCATTAACATTTAGCATCGTGGAACAGACCTACGCCCCAGCTGAATGTGTAAGCCAGGCCATAGACATCAATGAACCAATAGGCAATTTAAAGAAACTACTTGAACCAAGACTGCAGTGTTCTTTGGACGCTCATGAAATTTGCCTGCAAGACATTCAGGTAAGGTTTATCTCTGTGGATAGCTATGAATAGACTAGATCTGTGATCTAAAATGTGAGCATTTAGAAATGAAGATTCTTTCAGCAAACTTCTTGTACCTAAATTGAAAAGATTGAGTAATAAAATTGAACCGAATGAACAAGTCACTCATTCTCTTTTACTTTGGTGAGTATGAAATAAAATGAGACTAAAAGCAGAGTGGTGGGAAGCATGAAAGACATTTGTGCTGTCTGACTTAACTTACTCGTATGTGAGTTTCTTACCCTTAGAGTGAGGGCGGTTGACTAAACTGTGTTTCCTTTGCATCTTCTCTGGCACTAAATTTGAAGTATTTCCCATTGTAGTATTATAGTATCTCTGAAGCATCTTCTCAGATTTATTTTACATCTTTTCCAGGAGATAAACTTTAATGTGTAAAAATAGTAACCTGAGTAAGATTATGGACATAGTCTTCATGACTTTTCTTAAACTTACAATAACTACTAGCATTGTACACTTTTCTCACATAACCTATGAATGTATATCTTGTCATTGTTATGAATTGTTTGCTTTGCCTTATTTTTTACTGTCTAATCTTCATGCCTGTCTTGTGATAGCATTTTTTCATATATTGCAGAACTTTGCCTTGATATTTTAAGAACTCAAGTCCTCTGCAGTAACTATTAAACAAGATTCTGTTATATAGTAAATTGAAATGTGTTAGTAGAATTTATGCATTAGTTGCTTTTTTAACCATGTTTTAATTTTTTTCTTTGAATATACATGTAGTAAATGTTAATGGTGATTAGATATTGCTCTTCTAAAATTAGCAACTATGGTTGTATCTACTTAAAGCAACATGTTAAATTTTCTTCTTAGTAGTGAGAAGATAAATTAATATGGTATTTTGAAAGCAGTTGATATTTAGTATCTTAATTAGACATGTGAAAGACCTAACAGTTCTACTTGAAGGAATTGTTCCTACATAATGCTTACCTGCATGGATGATAGTGTATTTATAAAGATCCTAAAAGTAAATCTTTTAAAACAGAATATTCAGTACATAAATTCAGAGTTCAAAGTAGTCACTAAAAGTGGTTAGCTAGAGCTATAAGGACAACACATTGAGTTAAACACTTGCAAAACACTTCCAAATGATCCGGTTTAATTGTATCAATCACTAAAACTCATCATTTTGTTAATTGTTACATTGTGTAATGATAGAATACCTGACCTCATAACAAAATATGGCCTACAAAGTGCCTGTCTTATCATAGTTTCTCAGAAAGCATGTGTAAATCATGATATCATTTAAGAGCTGTGCTAGGATCTGTGGGCATTTCACATCCCCCTAGCACCTTTCCTCGGCTGAACAAAGAATGTGAGCATGGCAGCTTTGGTTTCCCATGTTAATGCAAAGGTGCATTTGGCATTATTAATACCTGCTACTTCTGAGAGTACCTTGGCATGGTCAGACAAATGCTTGAAAGCTGCTGGAGCAATCACTGAGTTGTACTTCCTTGAAGACTATGTTACACAGTCACCATGCTAGAGCCTTGTCCTTGTGTGTCCTTGCCTCGGTGGACTGCCATATTCAGGACCTGAAAGCTAGCTTTTCAGAATATATAGGCCATAGCTACTAATGTCCTCTAGACCTGGAGGAAGTCTTCGTGTTCAGAGAATTTTTAAATGTCAAGCAAAGATTTACATTAATGCGTAGAAACTACCACATTTAGCCAATCCAAGTGTTACAGAGTTTTGTTCCTGTTCAAGTTGGATATAGTCCACTTAATACTGAAGGCTTTATGTATAAGACATTGTAAATAATTGAAATTGTGATTGTACCGTGACTGAATTTTTGGTAATGAAAGTGAAGGGGATTGGTGTGTTGAGCAGCACATATGCAGATACATGAGGTGTTTACGAGGGAAGCCTGTTTCAAGCTAGGGACACAATATCAGAGGCAAGATTATTTTTATTTCATTAAGAAGCCATGGTAGTGGTCCCCTGGAGAAGGGGAAAAGGTCAAGATCCCCTGAGCAAATTGAGAGCATGGTCAAACAAATGCCGTCTTGAAAGCTGCTGGAGCAATCACTGAGTTGTACTTCCTTGAAGACTATGTTACACAGTCACCATGCTAGAGCCTTGTCCTTGTGTGTCCTTGCCTCGGTGAACTGCCATATTCAGGACCTGAGAGCTAGCTTTTCAGAATATATAGGGAAGCACGGGAAGAGGGGGGAGGAAACTAGGAGAATGAGAAGGGGAGAAGAGGAGGGATGCAGAGGACATGAGGGAGCAGAAAGGTTGAGTCAGGGGAAGAATAGAAGATAACAAGAATGGAGATACCATAATAGAGAGAGTCATTTTAGGGAAAGGTCTGGAGATCTACAAAGAGGAGACCAGCTAACAATCTAAGCAACAGAGGAGAGGCTACCTTAAATGCCCTCCCCTGATAATGAGATTGATGACTGACTTATATGCCACCTGATAGCCTTCATCCAGCAGCTGGTGGAAGTAGAAGCAGACACCCACAACTAATCACTGAACTGAACTGGAATCCAGATTGAGAGAAGGATGGGAGAAGGCCAAAGGGGTCCAGACCAGGCTGGTGGAACCCACAGAAACAGCTGACCTGAACAAGGGGGGTTGCTCATGGACCCCAGCTGATAGCTGGGATACCAGCATGGGACTGATCCAAACCCCAGGAACATGGGTTTCAATGTGGAAACCCTCATCTATGGGCCTCCTGTAGTAGTTCAGTACTTATCCCTAGCATAGGTGTGTACTTTAGGAGCCCATCCCACATAGAGGAATACTTCCTGAGCCAAGACACACGGGGGTGGGCCCTATCCCAAAGGATACTATAGACTCTGATGACACCCTATGGAAGGCTTCACCATCCAGGGGGAGCAGAAAGGATATGTGATAGGTAGGGTTTTAGTTGGGGGGGGATGGGAGGGAGAAGGGAACTGAGATTGTCATGTAAAACAATCTTATTTCTAATTCAGATTTAAAAATCTGAGTTTGATAACAATCTCTTCTAGTTTGTACCTTTTGTGGCAAAAAAAAAAAAAAAAAAAAGAAAGAAAAGAAAAGAAAAGAAAAAAGAAGCCATGGTAGGAGCCAGGCAGTGGTGGCTCACACCTTTAATCCCAGCACTCAGGAGGCAGAGGCAGGCAGATCTCTGTGAGTTTGAGACCAGCCTGGTCTACAAGGGCTAATTCCAAGACAGCCTCCAAAGCCACAGAGAAACCCTGCCTCAAAAAAACAAAAAAAGAAGCCATGGTAGGAAATGCATTTACTAGAAGGAGATACAAAGGGAAAAAAAGCACTGGTGTCCCAAGGATATGGAATTATGACAAAAGTAGATCCAGTAGTCAGATCATGAATCCTTTAATTTTATTAACTTTGTGATCAGAGACTTTAGGGGGAATCCTACATTTTAATATGTAGCATTAGTTACAAGGGAGATATGGCATGAATATGATAGTAAACTTGGATAAATTGTCAGCCCCTAATTAACATCCTTCCTCGTCTGATATACTTTGCATTATCTTGTACTTTAAATGCATTTGCAGAAGGAAGAATCGCCTGTTTGCATTACTTTAAGTAAGATCTCAGCTGAGATTGCAGAAGTCCCATAGAAAACTGCCACTTACAATAATTTTGCAACCTCAGGGAATGCCTGGCATCCAAGAGGTCTTCCCTGACTGTAGTATTCAGCAACAGCAAAATAGAAAAATTAATTTGGTGGGGTTTTGCTGTCTTCCATTACTTCCTCAGTAGTGAAAATATTTTTAGTTTTAGCAAATAAATAGTATGACAGCATTAATAATTAAATGCATTCTTATGATTTACTATGTTCAGAAATTATTCCCTGTTTGATACACTGGTTTATACTAAACCATAGATGGTAACCTATCTAATGATTGAGCTGAAATGATCTTACTTACTCTTTATGTTTAGTTGGATCCAGAACGAAGCTTGTTTGACCAAGGAGTGAAAACAGACGGAACTGTACAGCTTAGTGTACAGGTAATCTCTTACCAAGGTAAGTTCCTTTCATTGGCAGGTATATAAACTGGAGCTCGTGTTTTCTCATAAGATACCTTGCATCTGTCTGTTGACAGTGTTTGACTGGAGTGATCCTATACTCGGGCTTTGTTTAGTTCTGTTTTCAGGGTAAAGCTGAAAGTGTAGCCCCTTTCACCTAAGTGAGATAGTGGTGTATTTTGAACTATAATAAATACCAGAATCACACCGTAAAGAGCTATTTCTTCCAACAATTTTGTTCTTTGAACATTTCATTTTTATCATATCTACCCCCACCCCTGCACTTTAACAGTTTTAGTTTTAATAAATACCATATCTTATGTACAATTGCATACCATTGTCTTTAGGATAGAATTTCTAAATGTAATTCTGATTTCTGAAATAGCTTTAAGTTTTTGCCTGACTAAATCTCCATTGAGGAGTCTCCATAGTGATAAATTTCTTACCTCAGCTTTGTTTCTGTCCTTTCCACAAGAATGGAGTTCTAATAATAAAGGAGGAGTTGGATGCCTTTAGGGTTCGGGTCAACTGGTGTGAATTCAGTTGAACATATTAGCACATGTTTAGGGTGGAAGACAAGGGTCAATGAGATGGCTCAGTCTGTAAAGTGCTGGTGAGTGAGCCTAAAAACCTGAGTTCAGATCTCAGCCCTGTGTAAAAATGGACAAGTGGTTCTTATATGTAAGGCCAGTGTTAGAGAGCAGAGACGGGAAAATACTTGGGGCTGACTGACTTCCCAGTCAGTAAAACATCCTGACTCAGAACATAAGGTAGAGAAAGATACAGACAGCCCATGGCTCTCATGTGCACAAGTATGTGTGTGTATATATACCCACATATACACACAAGAGTAAAAAGAAGGCAAACAGAGCCAAGCATAGTGGTTTGTAACCCTGGCACTTGGAAAGCAAAAGCAGGGGATAGGAATTTGAGTTATCTTAAGCTCTGTAGTGAGTTTGTTGCTACCCTGGGCTTCATGTGATCCTGTTTATTTTACAGAGAAAGAGAACAGAGTCTCTCATTTTAATTTTCTTAGAAAGTGTGTAAAATCTTTAAGAATGTGTAGCTACTCATATGCACTCTGTAGTATAGTGTCTATTCAATACTTTTATCTTTTTTATACTACTGTTGTATGAAGTGGCACTTTTTCCCATGTGGCATATGTAGGTAACGTTTATCAAGTGTGCTCAGGTGTGAATTATTGCTGAAGCTTAGAACACTAGGCTAAAGAATTTTTAGATACTGTTTGCATAGGTGTTAAATTTTATTACATTTGCTTTTACTTCTTCAAGCACACATTTTTATTTTTCAACTCTTTCAGGATAAATTGCTGACATGATTGTTTTCTATCTCTAAATATATTGTCGGTATCTATGTTTCCTTAAAAAAACAAGGGTCCTCGACTGGGGAGAGAGCTAGAGCTAGAATATTTACCTCTTACGTATGCGGCCCTGTGTTTGATCTCCAGCACTCTAGTAAAACAGTGCTCAAGCACTCTTCTCTGTCATCACATGACACAGTACTGTTGACATGGTACTACTTCTGTTAAATTGTGTGTATGTAGAAGTAAGAATCTGTTCAGTTTCTCACTACTTGAAGAACATACATTTGTATGTTTTCTCATTTGGAGACAAACTTTACTCTTAGCTCTTTGTCTCTTGTGGTTTTATTTAAATTTGTATTTTTGTTTCTATCCACTGGTAGGAATTGAGCCAAAGCTAAATATTCTTGAAATTGTTAAAACTGCGGAAACGGTTGAAGTGGTCATCGATCCAGATGCCCACCATGCAGAAGCAGAAGCGCATCTTGTTGAAGAAGCCCAAGTGATAACACTTGACGGCACCAAGCATATCACAACTATTTCCGACGAAACCTCAGAGCAAGTGACGAGATGGGCTGCTGCACTGGAAGGCTACAGAAAAGAGCAAGAGCGCCTTGGAATCCCCTATGGTAATGAGACAGCTGTTGGTGGGGTGCACTAAGAGTTAAATTAGAATAGAAAACACACTTGAATCAGATACTATATTTTTTAATGTAGCAGTTCTAGAAAGATTACTGATTTTTATATATTTAGTTAATTTTGAAGGGTAACATACTAAGAACACATGATGAACAAATACTATGCTGATTGCTTAGGAAAAATTATCAGAATTATTACAAGAAATTCTGCCCATAGCATGTTCACGGTGTAGTTGAAGAGAAGACAAAAAATAGAGATGACTGTCATAGAAAGTTTAAACTATCAATAACTAATACAAGCAAAGCATGTCTTTAGAACCTCAAAGACATCAAACTGAGTATTTTGAGGAATGCCGAATGGAGTTCAGGCAGTAGTTCAGGAATTCAGGGCAACCTTAGGTTTATGTAGCAGGCAGGCCCTTTCCCAAAAAGACAAACAGGGATGTGGTGGGGGGTGGGGGGAATCAGAGTTTCTGAAAAAGGTGGGAGGAGTTATTTCTGATGTAGAGCTGTTTTTGATTAGTAAAAGTTGCTAGGAATAAAGCGTGTGGCACCTTGGCAGATTAGGGTGGGGGGCACTCTACAACGACAAACATGTCAGGCAGATAGAGCTTAAGTGAGACGTTTTATTAGAAAAGAGGTAAAGAGACAGAGAGAGAGAAGGAGACAGTAGAGAAGAGGGAGACAGGAAAAGTCCTATCTGCCCCAGGGAATAGCAGGAAAGAGAGCATAAGTGGACAGAGGTTTTTCTTTTAAAAGGTCCTTTGCACCTGGGCTGACCAGGATACTGCCTGAGTGCATTCTGTCAGGTGATAGGGGCAGGCCAGAAAAATGCCTGAATCTTTACAAAAGTGATAACCAAAAAAATGAATATTGCCCAGGTGTCCCATAAGGCACATAGTGGCTATGTGAGAGAAAACAAGAACCTATTTTTTGTCATTTGTATAATAGTAATATTGTCCACATTAGCATAGACTAGGTGGTTTCTTTGGTAGTAAAAAGGAAGAGATAGGTGAAAACAGTGGTAAGGTTGGCAAATTGTGAGCATGGAGAGAGGACACTCAAGTTCTGACCTAATTTTGAGAGCTTGAGTGACTAGGGTGATAGTTTTGATACAAATTGGCTGCATCTTTATTATAATGGTGCTATGGTAATTTCTGGCCTAATGATGACACAAGAATAGAGCATGCCTTAACCCTGGAGAGGATTGGCCTCAATGCATTCTGCTAACTAGGTAAGCATTTGACCTTTAAACTAGATTCCTAATTGCTAGGCATACCTTTGAAAGTCTTTTGGAGGAAGTAGGGATGGCTGGTAAGAGAGAGTGTTGACAACACTTGACTCTGAAGTAAAGTACCTAATCAGTTTAGGATAGCCTTAACAGATAACAGATATTGTGTGGAGCTCATTCATATTGGGCTTCTATTTGAAGACAAAAGTGAAAGTCTTTTGAAAGAAACAATATGGAGAAGAACACATTGCTGCTTCCAAAACAACCTGTAGGGCAGAAGGAGGAGAAGGGAAATAGGAAAACATTAATGACCCCAGGGGTAATGCCATATGTCTTTAATCCCAGCACTCCAGTGGCTGAGGTTGGCAGATTTGAGTTCTGGGTCAGCCAGGCCTCCATTGTGAGACCCTGTCTCCAAAACAAAACCCCAAATCAATGGTATAGCCAAAGACAGAAGGAACATAACCATATGGTATCCCCACTATTGAGGGAGAGTTATAGGTGTCTAAGACTCATGAGATGCTTTTGAGAAAGTCAAAAATATGAAGTAGCATCTGTTTGGTAACCATAGAATTACTGGTCAATTTGGGTTTAAGTTAGATAAAGCTGAACTATAGGCAACAATTTAGAAATAAAGAACATTGTAAGAATTTTTTGAGGCAATAGAGAAGAAAAGCATTAGGGAAACAAATTATCATACAGTTGGAGAGTTGGTAGTATGCTCTAACTACTATTTCCCCAATAATAACAACTTTCAGTTATTCACATTGCATTGGGTATTTTATTTAGAAGTGGTTTCAATTATATGCATTCATCCTTTAGGAGTATGTACGGCACTATTTTGTAGAAGACATAGAGTCTGAGGAATTTGCTATCCCTGAGGATTGGTGGCATCCTGGAACCTATTCCTCACAAATGCCAAGGGATAACTATATGCAATTCCTTATTGTGACGTGGAAAAATTTACTTTTGGCATGTAGAAGCTAGTGTGGATAGATAGCAAGGTAGGAATCACTTGAGAGGAAATGCTGAGAAGGGAAGGAAGGGACATGAAAACCCCAATAGTGTTTCCTTGCCAGGCAGCGTTTGTTGTATTTCTCCAAAGACATCTTCAATAGAATTAGAGGAAGTAATAAAGATACATGAGTAGCAAGAGCAAGATGATTGATTGGCTGTGACTCAGGGTCCTACCAAGAAAGACATTTACTTCACAGTACATTTAAAATACTTGAGGTCATTGTTGATGAGACTCTTATCATGAAATTTTTACCTACTAGATTAGGGTCTTAATTAGGGTTTCTATTGCTGTGAAGAGACATCATGACTGCAGCAACTCTTACAGAGAAAACAGAGGTTCAGTTCATTATCATGGTAGCACGCAGGAAGGCATCATGCTGGAGGCTGAGAGTGCTACATCCTGCAGGCAACAGAGTGTCAACAGAGACACTGGGCGGTGTCCTGAGCATAGGAAACCTGAAAATCTGCCCCACAGTAGCACACTTCCTCCAACAAAGCCACACCAACTAATAGTGCTACTCCCTATGAGATTATGGGGGTCAGTTATATTCAGACTACTGTATTCTACTCATGGCCCCATAAGCTTGTAACAGTATCATAAAGCAGAATGTATTTAGTCTAACTTCAAAAGTTCCCATAGTCTACCCGTCTCAGCAATGTTTTAAAGTTCAAAGTCTCTTCTGAGACTCATGCAATCACTTAACTATATCTCAGAAAGCAGATCAAATACTTCCAACATAAAATGGCACAGGATACACATTGCTGTCCAAAACACAGGGAAAGGAGCACAGTGAGGAAATGCTGAAATAATGCAGGACTGAAAGCCAGCTGGGCAAACAGCAAACTCTGCATCTCCGTGTCTCATGTCAGAATGCTCTTCAGATCTCCAGCTTCATTCAACTTTGTTGACTGCAACACACTTCTTTCTCTTGGACTGGTTTCACTCCTTGTTAGCAGCTCTCCTCAGCAGGTATCCTACAGCTCTCCGTATCTCCAGCATCTTGGGTTCTCCAAGGCAATCCAGGCTTCCACTTAACAGCTTCACACAATGGCCTCTAATAGGCCTCCATTCAGGGATACCCATGACACATTTAATTACATTCAAAATCCCACAGCAAGCTTACAGATGAGTAACATTTTCTCAGAAAGCTATCATTTCAAACTTTTCTTTATCTACATGCAGTTCTTTGACAAATGTATTAATTACAGTCACCACTAAAATGCTAAAAGTATTTATAGCTACTTTTTTTGGTTTTTCAAGACCAAGTTTCTTTATATTGCTTTGGAGGTTGTCCTGGAACTCGCTCTGTAGACCAGGCTAGACTCAAACTCACAGAAATCCCCCTGCCTCTGCCTCCCGAGTGTTGGGATTAAGGGCCTGAGCCACCAATGCCCGGCTATAGCTACTTTAAATCTCTTTGAAATACTGACCCACGATGGGAAACCTTAAAGTTCACATTAATATAAACAAGCTTTCTATCTGGATAGCTTAGACATTTCTTCATTCATGTGGTTGTATATGTGGATATTTTTTAGTGTTGCCCATTAAACTAATCGAAGATGAAATTAAAACCTGTATAGTAGTTAGAAATCTATCAAAGAAATGGGCTATACAAAATGTTAAAACAATAAAAACAAACTCAGAGTCTAAATATGTACTTTTTTCCTTTATGAAATATGAATATTGAAATGATAGCTAGATTGTGATTTGCATTCTTTTTTTAAAAAAAATCATGTTTTGCAGATACTAACATTTAAGAACATATGTAGAGTCTTAAATATAAATAATATTCACACGAGAAAAGTAAAGATTGTGTCTGACTGGCTGTCCCGTTCCATAGCTCTGTCTTCTCCACACTGGTAAACTCCTTTTTTTAGCTTCTGTCAAGGTCTCTTGGAAGCCAGTCTGCAGCAGCTGTCCTGTTGGCAGCCCTCTTGTCTAGCCACAACTGGGTTACCCTTTATTGCTTTGATTCATCACCTTGCAGTGAAGGAGACTTACCTAGCTTCTGTGTAAGAGGAAGAGTTTGTTCTTTTTCTTTTTGGTGTCTTGACTGGTGTGTGTGGTGTGGTGTACATGGTTTGCTTTATTTTGTTTTTGTGAGATGAAGTCTTGCCCAGATGGACTTTATTAGCTTGTGGTCATCCAGCCTAAGCCTCCCCATTTGGTGGAATTGCAAGCACCTGCTTCCCTTTCTGTTTTACAAACTGCTTTGAAACTTTCATTTAAGTTAGTATAATAGCCTTAGAGCTGCTCATTTGTTGTAGAACCATGTTAGACAACTTTTAGGTTTCCTAAGTTCAGGATCGACTTCTTTTTTGTTGTTTGATTAGTTGGTTTTTTTGTTTGTTTATAAGGCAGTCTCACTCTAGCCTTGGTTATCCTAGAATTCACCTTGTAGCCCAGCTTGTCCTTGTCCTTGAAACAGCCTTCCTGCTCAGCCTCTTAAGTCTTATTTTTAGTTAATGGGTTTGTATGCACATCAAGACTGTTTCTCCTACTTTGAGTGAGCAGCCGTTAGTTTTTCTCATTCTCGTGTGGATTTGAAGCAGTCTCCACACCTCTCGAGCTGTCATTTAGCCTTTATTCCACTGTGTGCTGAGTCCTCCAGTCCTGTTTTTGTAGCTTCAGACTATTGTTTTACTTCCTATTCTTTCATTCTGTTTACAGATTATCTAGAAAGGGTTCCTTAAAAAGATGTTTGGCTTTACTTTTCCAAACAATACTTATTTTACTCTGCTCTGCTTATGATAGTGTCATAGCACATTAAAGTTGACAATTTCACTTTTCTTCTAAGTTTGATGACTCCATTCCATTGTTGTTGAATAAAACATTCAGAGGCACCTTCATTCAAGGTCTTGAGCACTGTAGCTTTTTTTGTCTGCTCTTTGTGTCTGGTCTTTATCTTAGTTTGGTTACAGTGAGAATCTTTTCCTTCATTGTGTTATGCATTAGTATTTATTTATTGTGATGTATATTCTTAAAAGAATAATCCCACTCTACATTAAATGAGCTACCTCCTCTTTATCCTTCTGCCTTTCGTGCTGTCTGCAGTCCGTACAACCTGAACAATACAAGTTCTGAAGGGAGGAATTCTCACTTTACACTGGGTAGACATTTGGGGGCATAGTTTTCTTTACCAAGTAAATTGGTTTTTGCCCAGCTTATTGTTTTGAAGAACTAAACCTCCCCTCCACCTCTGTGACTTTGTATCTGGGTCATTGTGCTTGTGCATCTTTAAAAATTTGCTTTTCTGTCATTTCACTGTTACCTTTGAGAAAAGAGACAAATACACAGCCAGTTCAGTAGATTAAACGGATGTCCTGATAGTATTTGAGGAAAACAAGAGAGTCTTTTTCCTTGCCTTACTGGATCTTGATAGTTACTATAAATTTGTATGTAAAGTGAGCTTGCTTTCTTAAATATTTTAAAGGGAGGTTTGGTTCAAGGGAACTTGGCTAACTCAAAGCCATCTTATGTTGGTCTTGGGTAGCATTCCAGACCTGAGCCTTGCTCTCTCAGCTCTGATTTGTTGTTACCTGTTCATTCTCATACACTCTATCCCTTAATCATCCCCCATACCATCTCCCTTCATCCCTTTCCTTGTTTGGCAATAATGAAGGTTGAACCCATGGACTCATGGATGCTTGGCAAGCATTCTACCACTGAGCTATATCCTCAGCCCTCTTTTTCAATTTTTTGTTTTGAGACATGGTTTCCTTAAATTGCCCAGGCAGAGCTTGACCTGTGAATGACCTCCTGCCTCAAACCCCAGGTAACCAGGATTATGGGTCTGCACCATGAAGCCCAGCATCTGTTTCCTTTATTTTTTCTTTTGTTGTTTCTTTCCTAATGTGCTTCTGCCCGGGCCTTGTTTCTCTGCGCATTTCCTATTGCCATACCCCATGCCTCTCGCTTTTGTTCTCATGCCCTCCCTGGACCCTGCAGGCATCCCGCTGCCGCTGCATTTGGAGAACTGTGCTGCAGCCTTTGTATTTATTTTACTTTGACCTGTTGTGCATCCAGTGACTGCGTCTTGGCTGTGTTCAGGCATCCTGTGCTCAGAATGAATCGTGTCATTTTGCTTCTCTTTGCATTCTTCTGCATGTTTGTTTTCTTACTACCTGAGATGAAAGCTGACTGTTGGCAAGCTGCCCTCGAGTCTCCTTAGCAGTTAGGGTTACAGAGTATGCCACCACACCCACTACCTTATAAAATTGCCTTTGTCTTCACCCAGCTATATTATGGACCTGGGTGTTGCTGCTTGTAAGCATTTATAGGTTTCTGGTTTTACCCTCAGTTGCTTTCCTGTCTCTCTGTGTACATTCGGAGAAATCTAACTTTACTCCCAAATTCCTAGACTTTCCCCTTCTCTTCTTGCTTTCAATCATATATGTTTGTTTTTACTGTAAATTGTTCCTTGAGAAAACTCTGTTACTTCTTCACATATTTTCTTACAACACCTATTTATTGGGTATATGACCAATATTATTTGAGTAGATCATCACCTTCAAACAAGAGGGCCAGCACCAAAATTATCCAGCATTAAGTTTCCACAGATAACATTTTCTGTTAGGTGCCAGGAATACAGTGATGTAATCATTGTATATGATGGCAATCCTTTTTTCTATTTGCAAATTCATTATTTTGTAAAAACAAAAATAACAGGAAAGATGAAATAATTTGGGTATTCTTTGTGTAAAGTCAACAAATGTCTGTTCAAGGCACTATGGTAGACTCTGAAGTCAGATTTCAAAACACAGTCTTTGTAATTACAGACTTGATGCCAATGGGGAAACAGCTGAGTGATCAGGGGGTTAGAATACCATATCCTAAGTGTCGCCAAGTGTGAGGGAAAGGTAGCTAACCCTTTAGTAGAAGGGACGGGGAAAGGCGCATTGTGCACAATTGGAAGAGTAATGCTAGCTCCCTAGGAGCCCATGGGATCTTTTTCAAGGCACCAAACCACACAGTGCTACAAAATAGTATTGTGAGCTTGGGTAGTACCCTCCATTATCTCCACGATATACTTCAGTTGTCATTTGGCCCACCAGAAAACACTTCTGTAGTTTGGTTTTTATGATAAAATTCCAGACTGACTGATAATAAAACCAAGTGACTCCGTTGGTAACTTAGATTGAAAAATTGAAAAAGAGTTAAGGAGAAAATGCAGCATCAGCATAAAAGTCATTCTTCATATAATCCGTTTGCTTCACTTGGGAAAAACCTCTGTCTGGATTTCATATGTGTATATATGTGTATTGAGAAATTAACTGTAAGTTTTTCTAAGATGGAACTAGGCTAAAGGTGATATTTTTCTTTCTAGATCCTATACAGTGGTCCACAGACCAAGTCCTGCATTGGGTGGTTTGGGTAATGAAGGAGTTCAGCATGACTGATATAGACCTCACCACACTCAACATATCGGGAAGAGAATTATGTAGTCTCAACCAAGAAGATTTTTTTCAGCGGGTCCCTCGGGGAGAAATTCTCTGGAGTCACCTGGAGCTTCTTCGAAAATGTATAAAATTAGAGTATTATCTTTTGCATTGTAACTAAAGCTTAATTTTATTTTTTGTAACTTTGTTTTCATTTTATTAATTGTTGATAAGCAAACTCGTGTTATAGTAATTAACATTTATTGTTATAGGGAGTGTGAAGAGTTCTTTGTGTATTATGTCAGTTCCTATAGTAATGCAATGAAGTAGTCTTTTCCTGATTTTTACTTTCTATGTGAGAGACTGACACTCTAAGATCCCTACAGAGTGTTAGACCTAGAGAGTGTCCAAACAAGATTCTAACTCAGGCTTAACCTCATTCCAAGGTCTCTCTTTTTTTTTTTTCTTTTATTATTTCCTTTTGAATCAGGTGTTGCTGTGTGCTATGTCTAGTAGCCTCAGTGCTTGAGCCTTTTGCTGCAGTTTCCCCAGTGGCTGGGATTGCAGGTGCAAGCCTGGCTAGAATCCAAGTTCTTAAATCTTACATGATGTGCCACCCCTAGCCCTCTTCATATATTCTAATCATTGCCTTCTCTTTGCCTAGTCATTGCCTGCATTTGATCACAGATTTCCTTCCTGGTCTCTTATTTATGGAATTAGGCATTTTTAAATGCCTTCCTTAGTTGAATAAGTAATATTTTTTAAGAGAGCTGCAGAGATGATCAGGGGACTATGGGGAAAACTTGGAAACCACCTGGCTGACCAAAGAGTTCATGTAAATGTAAATTTTTTGTTTAATCCATCCTGTGTGTTAATGACTTTTGTGGTGTCTGTTAAGCAGTCTTACCAACAGCTCGTCCCTTCGTGCTGTTTTGTATGTCAGTGATGTTACAGACCTGTAGTTTTCAGTTTACAGGTGGGTAAACTCTGTTCTTTTGTTAGTGTGAAGGATGGAAATGCCGTGGCTCCTACTTTGTTCTACTGTACACTGGTAAGGAAAGAGAGTCTTACCCAGTAATTTGATGCTTCACATTTTCCCCAAGGTTCCTTCTGCTGTTGAGTAAGAGGTGAGCTCTGCAAAGAAGCTCTGCTTGCTCAAGCCTCCTGAATGGATTCTCATGGATGGTTCTAAGTATTATTAAGAGACTTGTGCATTGGCTGTATAGGGTTATTGCCAGCTTCAGTTCTTACACACGCATAAGCCAAATAAATGTCTTGGTTCTGCTTTCAGAATCTCAACTGAATCATGGTCACTCAAACATTTTCTTGTTGGAATTCTTAGAACTACAACAGTAATAGCTCTTCCTGTAGTCTCTCTGGAAGTCATGGTTTTCCCAGTCTCCCACGTTAGCTCTTTCTTGTGCTTGTCATGTGTTGCTTCACCTGATGTTTCTCAAACTTGCTTTTCCTAGTCAGGAGGCAAGAGTCTTGTTTGTCCTTCCTTTTCTGTGCAACGGAGTGAGATTTCCTCAGAGAGGCTCTGCTCTAGCATTTTACAGCCTCTGTAAATGTCTCACAATTGCTTGCCTTCCAGCATGGATCTTTGCTCTGCTCTAGTAAGGAAATACATTTGGTTTTAGGGTCTAAGACCAAGTTCAGCATTTACAGAATGGGTGTGATGATCTGTAGGCTGTTTCTGACAGCCTATCTGTAGTTCCCAAGCCTCTTCAGAACATTTCCCAACTCCGAAAGGTACTGTTTTCTAGGGCAGAACTGTTACTGAGCAGCCCGGCCTACTTAGCCCTGATGCTCTCTTCTGAAGCCATCTGAAGAGAGAAAACTCCTTTTGTACTCTGATTACTTCTCAGCCCACTAGAATGCATCTCTGAAATTAATTTTTTTCAGGTTCTGTTATATTTGGGGAAGATAAATGTTTCAGGTGTACAAATTCTTCAGTGTGCTTTTGGTGTGAACATCTGCTTGTCACCAAAAGACCGAAGTCTTTATGGAAAAGAGCTGCTTCTGCTTTATATTCTTAGGGCCTAATGTTTCCTCATAAACTGCTCCATGTTCCCCAGTACTTTGAATTTAAGCATTCTGTTGCCCTCATGCATTTGGGGGGGGGGGCTTCAGATTCCTATATTTTCTTAGATGAGACATTCAGAAACCTATCACTTTGTGTGTTCTGCTTTGTCTTGAGAGTCTCTGAAGCACACCAAACTCAAGTCTCTGAGAATGAAGGTTGGAACTGAGTTTCCAGGTGGCCATTGTCTGGGCTGTGTAATGGCTCCTATCTAGTCCTTTAAGACTAAGCCACTTCTATTCAGTTAGTGACAGATGGGATAATTTCAGTTTTAATAGCACTTTTCTTCATTGAGATTTTTAAAAATACTGAGGAAAAATCTACCACAAAGCTGTTAAAGAGAGAAAAGTTCTGAGGTAGAATGTTTGGAAATAGAGGTCTGAATAAAATATAATAATTGTCAGTTCAATGAAAAGTTAACTTTGTGGTGTGTTTCTTAAAAGTTCCTTTTCTTTAACATTCACAACAGCCTTCCTTGTGAGCTGTGCGAGATCTCTCTTAGACGGGAAGAATGTCTAGTGGTCGAGGTCTTACCTAAGTGATAATGACTGCTAAGATCTAAAGCCCCATGTCTCTGAAGGAAGTCCTAAATAATTAAGACCTCAAGCTTATGAGCCCCAAAGAAAATTCCATCTGGTGGATAGGATCCAGACCTTGTCTTGGTCTCCCAGCCCTTTGTTGTTCTTGTATCTCAATCTGGACCCAAACAGTACCCCTAAGAGGGTTCTTAGGGTCCCTGTCTCACGTCTCACTCAGACCCAGGATGATCACTGACCGGTAAAGTTTCAACAGACAGGCATAATTATGACAAGCATAGTTCTAGAAACTGGGATGTGTAAGATAATGGTAAGAATAGCATCTGATCTGGGAAGACTGACACGTATTAATGAAGATTTTGCTGAAATTTAACTTTAGGAATGTTATAAAGTGATTGTTATAATTGAAACATCTCAAGAGGGTTTTGGATTTGTTTTGTTACACTGCTAAGTTTCAGTTGTTTAATACATATCTTGTTTGTCTTACTGGTTTTGGTTTTAATTGTGGGGATTTAAAAAAAAAAAAACTTGTTTGCTGAATTCAGTTTTACTGGATTGGGGATTCTGTTTTTGGTTTTAAATGAAAATGAATTTCCTTGTGTTCTTCAGATGTTCTGGCGAGCCAAGAACAACAGATGAGTGAGATAGTTACCATTGACCAGCGTGAGTACTCATTCCCATAGCGTTTGCCCCCTTACCAGACAGAAGAGCTCCTCTGTTAAATAGCTTCAAGTTCAAGTTTCCACGTAGCTTTCTGATAGAGAAGTGAAGCATCATTCATAACTAACCCCTTGTGGACCAGTAGTGGCGCCTGTGTGTTAGGTTCCTGTTTTCCCTCTCTAAATTTAGAACTGATTATCCACAACCGTTCTGTCAGAGTTTTTTCTCTCTGCCAGCTGAGCTACCCTAAATACTCCGTAGCATTATTCTGTGCATGCTTAAGGCTTGTTCCCTGGACCTTTGATAAGCTCAATTATTATTTAACACTGTGTGACTTAACTTTGTTGATACTTAGAACTCCATTTCATTCATTTTTCACTGCGGAATAGCATATCTAAAAATGCCCCAAATGGTTCCAGATTAGTAAGTTTAAGAAAGATCAACAGTTTCCATTTCTACGCTGTCAATTCCATGAGTGCCAGCTTTTCTCATAGTGCTTGTGAGTTTACAGTCTTATAGACCAGTGTGAGTTCTCAGTAGTCTAAGTTTTCACCATCTTTTAAACCATTTTCATAAACAATTGAATTGTAACTTTAAAAACGGATATATACCATTTAAGTTATTTTGTAATAAGGAAGATTAGCTGTTTCTAAACTAAGATTTACAACCTGCAATTGGAAACAACATAACTTTATTCTCTACCTAGGTCTGAAGTCTTTTCTTGACATAATTAAAGGGACATTAATTTTATTGATTGCATTTATTTTTTACTTCCTATAATGGAAAGACAATATATTTTCCTTTTTGCCTTTTCTTTTAGCTGTGCAAATTATCCCAGCATCAGTGCAGTCTGCTACGCCAACTACTATCAAAGTTATAAACAGTAGTGCAAAGGCAGCCAAAGTACAGAGGTCCCCAAGGATCTCAGGAGAAGACAGAAGTTCACCTGGAAACAGAACAGGTATTTTTGCATGGATTGATATTATAAAACTTGTCAAGTTAGGTATCTGAAAGTATAAATATGGCCTCTCTCTGGCAGTGTGTAGTTCATATTTCTAAAATGCGAAGTTTGTTTTTGCCTTAGCTGAAATTGAACCGGAGGACTTGTGCACTGCCTTTGACTTGTGTTAGCTTCTAACATGATGACCTGTGCTTGTTCTACTTATGGATTTAGGAAACAATGGTCAGATCCAACTGTGGCAGTTTCTGTTAGAACTTCTCACTGACAAGGATGCTCGAGACTGTATTTCTTGGGTTGGTGATGAAGGTGAATTTAAGCTAAATCAACCTGAATTGGTTGCACAAAAATGGGGACAGCGTAAAAACAAGCCTACGATGAACTATGAGAAACTGAGCCGGGCGTTACGGTGAGCATTTGCAGTTCTTGTTTGTTGTCCCTAATACCAGACTTCTCTGAAATGTAGCTTCTTGTTCTTGATGTGGGCCTGTTAAGTAATGAAAAATGAAATACTTTTTCTTAAGATAGTGAATGTGAGCTGCGCTGTGGTGGCGCATGCCTTTAATCCCAGCACTTGGGAGCAGGGGGAGGGGGATCTCTGTGAATTCCAGGCCAGCCTGGTCTACAGAGTGAGTTCCAGGATAGCTGTGGAAACACAGTGAAACACTGTCTTGGAAAACCAAAAAGAAAAAAGAAGAAGAGAGAGAGAGAGAGAGAGAGAGAGAGAGAGAGAGAGAGAGAGAGAGAGAGAGAGTGTGTGTGTGTGTGTGTGTGTGTTTAATGAGATGGCTCAGTGGATTAAGGTATTTCACTACAAGCCTGCCCAGCCAAGGTCCGTCTCTGAATCTACATAGTAGGAGAAGAGAGCCAGCTTCTGATACACATACACATGCATGCACAGATAATAAACAGGAGGGGATTTTTAAAAAAAAATTTAAAGCTAAAACTTTTGTGCATTATGCTAGAAATTACTTTTAACATAAAATTTTAATTACAATGATAATTTTGAGTTGCATAAACCTTTTTAAAAAGATTATAGATTATTTGTTTTATGTGATTTAAAAGCATGTACTCTGTTCAAAATCAGCCTGCTTATTAATCTTTAATATTGTTATAATTTGCATTACCAAGATGCTACTTACATACCAGATTTAGTGTATAGTGTATCAAATGTGTGAATACGGTCTTCTATTTTTATAATTATATTTACAGTTTTATCTTTTTACATCTGCCTAAATCCAAATAACCAAAAGTAGAACTTAGAATGATTTTTCCTAAATACTATGAATACTCTAAATGGAAAGCCCTGGACTGCCTATGTTACTGTGGGAGTTATTTCCACACTGTGTTAGTGAGGCTGTGAGAATTACTTCCACACTGTATGAGTTGGGTCCTGCAGAATTGTATCCAATGAGGAATGTACTTTTTTGCCTGTTAAGTTACTAAGTGTCTCCACACATACTTAGAGTGTCCTAAACCACACATCATCCGTGTATCCATCAGCAGAAGAATGAATAAACTAGTTGTAATACATTTGAGTGTTAAAGATGAGCTACTGCCCCAAATGATGATACAGTAATGTTCAAGAAGGGGGTCTGGGTCCAAGGGCCTATAGTGTGTGTGTGTGTGTGTGTGTGCGCGCGCGCCACTCCCTTAGGGGGCCATTTTCTTTCAAACTACCACAGGACCCCCCCCCCAATGGTTTGGAAATTTTCTCCAAAATTTGGGGAGCATTTATATAGTTAATGGAAAAGATGACAGGTATGTCTGTATTATATTAGATTTTTTTATAAAACTAAAGAAGTGGACTTTTCAACAATCTAAAATTTTGTTATCTGGATTCTTATTAGCATAGCTTATATTTTATAGAGATTTAACTGTGGCATTCATTGTATGCTACGCACTTTATAAAGATTATCCCTTTACTCTACAATTACATGAGGGTAAGTACTGTTTTAACCTGATTTTATAAATAGGGTGTTCTGTGGTCACAGAGGCAGCAAGTCCAGGTGCAAGCCCTTGGTTAGGTTCTGTTGCCATTTCCAAGGCTGTTTTGTTCTATCTTCTCTTGAGTAATCATGTTGGTTACTAAATTAATGTGTTATCACAGTCGTTTAAAATTTTATTTTGAAAGTTTCATGTCCTTGACTATTTCTGATAGGTCCAGAACTCTGTGGGCTTCTATATGTAGAAAAGTCTGAAACATAAGGTGCAAACTTCATTTTTTACAAGGTCCTAATGTGGTTTCTCTTTTTAAAGGTATTATTATGATGGAGACATGATTTGCAAAGTTCAAGGCAAGAGATTTGTGTACAAATTTGTTTGTGACTTGAAGACTCTTATTGGATACAGTGCAGCAGAACTGAACCGCTTGGTCACAGAATGTGAACAGAAGAAACTTGCAAAGATGCAGCTCCATGGAATTGCCCAGCCAGTCACAGCCGTAGCCCTGGCTGCTGCATCTCTACAAACAGAAAAGGACAATTGAAACCTAGGACCTCCTGGGCATCCATGGCTTTTCTTAAATATTTGGAGCAAGCTTTGCTCTCACCTTTATTACTGAATTTGAATCTTATTTCTAGACTGTACAATCTGATGCATGATTTTTTATAAATATTTCATACTCTTGTGAATTTGGATCTTTTTACTTTGAGCATATATTTTAGAAAATGTATAGTAAAGGATCTCCGCGATGCCTGAAATGTGAGAGTGGGTTCATCGTGGGGTAGTTTGCTAACAGTCAGGAAAGCTAAACTGGTCAGTATTAATGTCTAGCCCTACCAAAAACAGCCGTATTCTGTGTGTGAAGATGACAGTCGGAAGCTGTTTCCTCTCTGCTGCTTTCCATAGAGCCTGCAAAGGAATTCTCAGCTAAGCATGTGTGCCTGTCTCACCTAATCAAGCAGAGCTAGATGTTCATATCAAATAAAATTATATGGATAATTACTGAACTATCAGGTTATTAATTTATATATTTACAAGGAAAGAAGAGGTTAACTGGCAGAAGAGAGTGTTGAATGAGACCCAGGTTTAAAGCTGGCTTAACTCAACCCATTATTAATGGTTTTCTGTATAGTTTATTCATTATGTCAGACCAAGGACTTAAATTATTTTGAGAGAGGTGTTTAATTCTAATGAACCAGCTATTGCAAAAATTTCAAAATGATACCATTCTTTCAGATTTTAAAAAGCATACCTCAGTAAGAAAATAAAAATTTGGTTTAGTTTGACTTCTTTTTTTTTTTTAACTAATCTATAGTAGCAGATTATTATGCAATACCATTTATATATTCATTCCTGTGTTTGCTAAAATGAAGACTTTAGATCAGATAAAAGTACTTAACTTTTGAGGATGTTAGTAAATTACTTGTGAATAGTTCAGCACTGTCGGTGATCTTTAAATAAACTTCCCCACTTGTTTCATTTTTCCCTCTTGAATATTGCATATGTGTCTCTAAAAATATTAGATGTGGCCGGCTAATCACTTTCTGCATGTTTGAAGACATAAAGATATTCAAAAGGGAGACTATTTCTAAAATCTTTATGAGATGCCTTACTGCTTGCTAACACTAAGAAGAAATGGCTAGAGAAATCTTTTTTCTTTTGTTTGTTTTAACGTATTATGCATAAATCATGATATGAGAGACTAGCAAATAGTTTTCATAGCAGAAAGGTGTTCTCAGAAGAGTATAAAGGCTACTTTATACACCTCTTTCATTTGTTTTCTTTTAGTTTATGCCCAGAAATGGCTTTAAAAGAACCCATTGGATGTTGACTGGGAGGGAGGGAACATGAGGTTGCAGCTTGATGGTATTTCGAGAAGTAAACAGCGACCTGGCATGTAAGGGCCAAGAAAGAATGGTTGCCCATGCCGCTGCTCTGCTGTCAGACTTCAGCGTGTATCATTAGTATGTGTATATTAAGTCCTTTAAGATTCCACAGTAAATACTTCAAAGCAATTAAATTGCTTTTATTTTTTTAAATAGACAGTAGGCTGGCAAGTATCAGTACAATTTGATCTACATGATTTTAAGAATATCTGAGTATAAAAATGGTCTTAAAGCCCTGACTTTAGATAACAGATGAGCAACTGTAAAGGATGCTTTTCCCATCTTGGGTAACCAGTCACTGTTTCAAAACGGAATGTTTCCATAGTACACGGAGAGCTTGAGGAGCTACAGGTAAAATGCTTCAGAGATGCGATGTTGAGGACAGGCTTTGTCTTTCTTTTGTAGAAATGTAGGTTTTTAAGGAAAGGAACGTCTGCATTTCTAGGTCCCGAAAATCTAGTTAAGCATTTTCAAATGCTCTGTTTTTTAACAAAAAAAACAAACAAAAAAAAAACCTATTCTGTAGATTTTCTTCCTTTGGTATATTTTGTTTTGGTCATTATTTGAACAGAGTTCTCAGACATGAGATGCTCATTTCCCTTCACCTCCTTCTATGCACCTCTACACAGGAAATGAGAGGGTTTTTTCCTTGACTTAAGCTGTTACTCCGTCTCCACTTAGATATAAAATATTTGTTATCCTTATGGGGCCACAGTTTGCTAGTCTTTTATTATAAAAACAACTCAAGTTGTACAAGAAAATATTAATTTTGTGGTATTCTTTGCTCAGTTTTATCATACACTTTTCATAGAATTTAAGATACAGTCAAACAAAAAGAACATAAAATTGTTTGACCATCTTTTGTACCTTGTAAGTTCAAGAGTAATGAAACGTTCACTTTTGTTTTAAAACAGCTTTTCCATGTGATGTTTTCATGGAGCTCATTTTCTCTGTGTGCTAGCCTGAAGTCTGAACATTGTATTGGCATTGGAAAAGTCCAGCTAGTTAGGCAGAATTGCTGTGTGTGCTTGATCTCTACATGATCAATTAACTGGTTACATTCATTTTGGTGTCAATCCATGTAAATAAATTAGGAAGAAATATTTAAGTTTTCTCCCCAGATAAATGGTGATGCTCGAGTATGATTATTTTTTTTAAAGGAGTGTACCTCTAAATATTTTTGGCAAGTTCTGTCGTTTTCTGCATTTGCCATTTATGCTACTGCCTTTTGTAAAGAACTAGTGTATCCTTGAGATAGCACAAAAACGTTTTAAAATTTATAGCTGCAAAACAAACCTGTGACTGACTTAATGTCTTCGGATCTAAAGGCTATAAAAATGTTATTTCAATATTTCACTTATTCCCAAGAAAAAAGTATTCTCAGTCTTTTGTAGAAGGGAGGAGAATTTTTGCATACATTTTTACTCTTTAAATAAAGACACTTATACTATCATAATAACAATTATGTATTTCTTTGTTTTTTTGTAATTTTACATAAAACAGTTATTTTCTATTTTCTATTTACTCAGATAAAATATTTGTGCATAAAATGTAAAAATAGTAAATGAGAAAAATAAAACTTATTATACAATAAATTCTTATGTTGGAAGTTTTTGGTTTTTGTTTTCTTCTGAAAAAAAAATTCAGATTCCTGGGATTTTTAGTTGATTGAAAATCTTGTCAGTCTCTTTTGATAAACATCCATGTGTTCCTCTGTATCTCTTCCCATTAACTTAAAACCTATCAAAGTAGTGATCCCCAGGACACACATACATATACATACACCACCACACATCTTTAAAATGTTAATTAGGATAAAAGATAAGACTTTTTAATTAACCAAATAGCATGTGACCTTTGGGTACTAATTACAATTACAATAAGTAAGCTATAAGTGAAAGTTGAGTAATTAAGGAAATTTGAACAATTGATATTTGAAAATCCTGAGGTTTCTGTACATACTTTGGGCGATGATAGTTTTTGTGGTTATAAGGAAGGGGAGAAAGTGAGGGAGAATATCCATTAGAAGTGTACACTGGGTAAAGATGAAATGCTATGATGGTTCTCAAATCTGTTTGGTTCTCAATAGTTAAAAGAGTGGGATACAGATAAAAATAGCAGTTCTCAGGGCTGGAGAGATGACTCAGCAGTCAAGACCATTGGCTGCTCTTCCAGAGGACCCATGTTCAATTCCCAGCACCCCCAGAGAGAGCATGGGAGCCAGACCAGAGCCATGACAGGTTTCTAACAGTCCCTGCCAGGGACCAGAACTTAGTTTCAGTTTTCTGGAGGTGATTGGAGCTGAGCAAACAGTTCTTAGGGAAAACCTTAACTCAGGAACAACCAATCAACAGGTGCCCCCTTAGCTTTTTCTGGCTCAGCAGATGATCACAGCCTTCTGCTGGCTCAGCAGGCAATCACAGTCTCCTGATAGCTAAAGATAGCTTTCCCTCCCCTGCCTCTGAAAAGTCCCTAACCACTAGATACATCCACCAATCAGCCTCCAGATTAATCTACCCCCACCAGTCAACCCCCAGACTAAGCTCTCCTCCTTGGAATTCCCCTAACCAATTTAAAAAGTGGGCCTCTGGGCCTCTCCAGCTGTTGCCAAGTGCCACCCTGATGGGGGAATGCTTCTGTGTATGTGTTTGTCTTATTGGATGATAAATAAAGTACTGTTTGGCCAATGAAGCAGCAACTTAGGCGGGACTAAGAGTCAAGAAGGATTCTGGAAAATGTAGTAAAGCTTCAATCCAGGAAGGAAGTGACATAGCAGGCAGACTCATATAAGCAAGGGCAAGAAGGAAGTCATCCTTTTTCCCTTCTCTCTTCCTCCTGGTCTCTGCTCTGGAGTTGTCATGTGATCCGACTGCAAGAAAGGGCGCCAGCGGAAGGTGTCCTCTATAAGTCTTATAAATAGATTTATGATAATTAAGACTGAGCTAGCAGATGAGAAATCCTAGTCATTAGCCAAGCAGCATTTTACCTAATATAAGTCTCTGTGTGTTACTTGGGACCAAGTGACATAGCAGGCAGACTCATATAAGCAAGGGCAAGAAGGAAGTCATCCTTTTTCCCTTCTCTCTTCCTCCTGGTCTCTGCTCTGGAGTTGTCATGTGATCCGACTGCAAGAAAGGGCGCCAGCGGAAGGTGTCCTCTATAAGTCTTATAAATAGATTTATGATAATTAAGACTGAGCTAGCAGATGAGAAATCCTAGTCATTAGCCAAGCAGCATTTTACCTAATATAAGTCTCTGTGTGTTACTTGGGACCTAATGTGGCAGTGGACAGAACTTGGGCAGCCTGGCAGAAAGTGCCCACATGGCGGCGGGGCTGTAAAGACTTATTGCTACACCACCCTAATATGTTGGAATATTATTTTTTTTAAAAAGGAGCTTTTGCTGATTGCATATGTGACTGGTGGTCTTTTATGGGAAGTTCTTGAGGACCCTAACACCACATGGCAGCTTACAACTGTGCACAGGTGTCTGGAGGCGAAAAGAGGAGATGAGAGGCTCTGGAGCAGGAATTACAGGCATTGTGAGCCGCCAGACACAGGTGTTGGGAACTGAAGTTCAGTCTTCTGAAATAGTAACAAGCCCTGCCTCTTTCTGCCTTTGTATAATTCTGATTCACTGTGAGCTACACATAACCAGGTGATTGATGGAACCAGCTTGACTAGCTCTTAAAGAAGGAACCAGTAGTACATAGTGTTTAAATCTTTGAAGCAGATCAGAATATTCATATTTCCACCCAGGACCAAAGGTTTATTTTCTTAACTAGAAGAGTACTAGCTTTTTACACAGTGGTTCTCAGCCGGGCAGTGGTGGTGCACCCTTTAATTCCAGCACTCAGGAGGCAGAGGCAGGTGGATCTCTGTGAGTTTGAGGCCAGCCTGGTTTACAGAGTGAGTTCTGGGACAGGCTCCAAAGCTACACAGAGAAGAAATCTTGACTCAAAAAAACAAAAACAAACAAACAAACAAACAAAAAGTGATCCTCAACAAATCTTGATGTCTGTAGCTTGTTACATGGTATTCAAATCCTGAAGCCTGGCAAAGCTGTTTCCATTGTTAGAGGAAACAATGGGAGAGATACAAAGCCGGCGATTCAGGAGGGACCTGTCCTCAGTGGCCCCTAACATTCACCCCCAGTAGTTGTGACCCCAAAGTCATTTAGGAGATGGGACGTATCTTTAATCCTCCCACTCTGAGTCTATTCATGTGTCCCATGAGCCCTCAGCATTCAAGGACTGGGAATTGACATTTAAGGAAGCCACACTGCTTATTATACAAAGAAAAAGAACCCCAATTAGCTAATTGCTAACACTCCCACTAAAGTATGTCCTAAATCTTAATATGGTTGCTTTTAATACCACATAAAATCAAACTGAGAAGTAACTTTGTGTCGAATATTTTCTTTTTAGGAGTTTGTACTTCCTAATTGACTAGGGCACAGCTGAAACTCTTCAACTGTGTTTTACGACTCCATCTAGGGCGCCAGTAACAGAACCCAAACGTAACAAAATGAAGAGTTTGTGAAAAGTTTGGCAACAATAAAAGGTCTCTGAAAGTAAAATGGCCAAAAAGTACTTCTAAATGAAACACA